CGCACCCACGGGCACCAGGCGGTTGACATTGTCCGGATGGGCAATCCACACACCGGGGATGGTCGGTCTGCCCAGAGTTCGGGCATCACCCGTCGGAGACAATCCGGTATTGAGCAGACACCAGCCAGCGGTCTCTGTTGTGCCGTACGAGACCGTTAACCGAAGATGCGTGGCCCATCGAGCAACCAACTCCCGAGAGAGGCTTTCGCCCCCGACAGTGACACTGCGCAGGTCTGGCAAATCGTGTGGGTTCAGGTCCGCCAGCGAGGTTGAGGTGAGCCAGCAGAACGTGGCGTGGAGCTCCCGCAGTGCCCCCGTCAAATCAGTGAGTCGCTGGGTCTCGGATGGCATACACAGACAACCTCCCTGGCTCAGCGTGCCAAAGATGTCGCAAAGACTAACGGCAAAGGTGAAAGAGGTAAATTGGAAGCACCGGGTTTCAGCGGAGAACTGGTTTGCCGCTGCGTATGCGCTGATGCTCATGAACAGTGCTGTGTGCTCTAGAATGACTCCCTTGGGTGCCCCGGTACTTCCTGACGTCCACATTAGAAATGCAACGTCTCTATGAGATGGGCCTGGGGCCTCTGCTGGAGAGATCTGGTGCTGTAGAAAGGAGGACATGTCGGGGCCGACGACTACGACCTCCACTCCATCCATTTGGAGCAGCGAAGCGTGTCGCTCGGTCGCTATGACAGCCTTTGCATCGCAGAGCTGCACCATCGACTGTAAGCGACTTCGAGGATGAGACGGATCTAACGGAGAACATGCAGCGCCCGCCTTGAGAATGGCCAACATAGCTACCACCGCCCAGGCGGACTTGTCCGCACAAAGAGGAACATATGTGCCTGAAAGATCCAAGGAGCGGAGGTACTTGGCTAGAAGTGTTGAAAGAGTATCTAGCTCCTGATATGACAATGTGCCATCCCAGGAATCAATGGCTATGCTGTTGCCGCGTTCAACGGCTTGTGCTGTGATTATATCGTCCAGACAACCTTCTGGTAGCGCACGTCGGGCGACAGCGAACCGGTTGAGGTCGGTAATATTGCGCTCACTGAGAACATCGATGGAGCCAATGGAGACTGTGCGCCCTTGCAGAGCCCGCATTATGGTCTCTAAGGTACTGGCAACGTTGGCTGCCTGTTCAGCGCTGAGCAGATTTGGCCGGTATTCCAGAGACAAGCCTCCCCCGGAAATACTACCGACCAGCACCAGTTGAAGACGCTACTGTGATTAGCTACCTCAATTCGACAACATCATCATGGATACTTACTGTGGGAATAGGTGTCGCTCCCTCCTGTGAGAGACAGAGGCCCGTATTGACCTGCCGTCCATCCGAGGTCCCACCTTCGTGGATTTCAATGTCTTTCCAGGAGAGGTCGCGGTTCATTTTTGCGTCTACGCAGAACCAATGCTGGTTGCGTAGACAGGCAAACTCAACAGCCTCTTGTTCATTGTACGTGAATAGAAGAATGGCCCACGCGATTGATAGCTCCCGGGCCCATTCGCCGTCAGGTCCATTGCTTAGTGATATCGGGCTGTCTATACCGAGCGCAACCGAATGGAGCGTATCGTCCTCAACGAACTGTCCATCAGTAAGACAAGGGAACATATAGCCAGTTCTCAAATCCATTTCCGGAAGAAAAGCGAGACTTGTTTTTGGATGTCCTTGGATGGCCACAGCCAGCGACGACTATAAGTATGATTGACCTGAAAAATGCTCATGACCTCATATGCCACTTCTACACCTCATCCATCGGGGTTACACGTCATAAACCATGTGGCGCATGGCGCCTGACGATTAAACTGCCAAACGTGTAACATAACTGCCGAAGTGATAGCGCGGCCCTTTATCGTGATTGAACAGGACACTCGCTGTCTGAGTTGAAAATACCGACTTGGAGTTGATATGGACCTTGGTCGGGTTATCGTCCCGAATGAGTACTGCCTCATGGACATTGCACGTACACCCAGAAAATGGACTGAAGATCAATCCCCCTTGTGCAGGACCACAGAGCCGTTCCGAATAATTAACTGCTACAAAGGAACTGTTACGGTCGTAATTCCAGGATCATATTGGCAAGGACTCCGTGTTTATCTAGCAACCGTTCACCTGCACATGCTACGAACCTCGCGGCTGGACCCCAGTGCAACAATCCCATCATTCCATAACCTAACCAACGCTTTGAGCGCGTCGTAAGGTCACCCGAACCCCTTTGCTGCCATTTTTGGCGCGAGGCAGCATCTTGTCACCATGTAGCTGGACATCATCCAGAGTCGTATCGTGGAGTTTCATGTCGTACCGGCGGAACAGCGTCGCTATGCCCAGATAGAGCTCTGCAAAAGCCAGACTATGGAATGGGCAATCAGTTTGGTGAACTTCGGACATTCCATCACGAGAATACTAACTTCATGCCAATACACTGGCGTGATCCCTTGCTAAACGATACCATGTATTTATTCAGTCTCCTTCGGTCGTTCGGATCGGTCCATCGTTCTGGGATGAATTCGTGCGACTGCGGGAAAATGCTCTCGTCATGATGCATTAACGCAGAGGACATGCCAACAGGGGTCTTCAGCAGTCAGCCTATGGGTGCTGTGTCGGAAGCGGAGATACCCACATTAGGGGGGATGGCAATATCTTTGTACTTGAGTGGATCGATGGGACTGATTCGCTGAAGTCGATGCGATAGCCCATAAGAGAGTCTGCGTAAATAAGTCAGACTAATCAGGCCAATTAAGGACATACGCACCGTAGCCCTTCATAGATGATCCCCGTCTGGCGGCATTGTCAGTAAGTATCACTTGTCTGACGCGTTGGATAAATAGGGATTCTCACCAAGTATGGGAGTTGCTCAAGAGTCTGAAGATCCATGTCGGCATTGCTGTGAAATCTGTTATCCAGCTCCTCGCGCAGTTTGTCTAAGATAGATTGATTGTGGGCAATGTGAAATGTGCAGACTGTCATAGTATGGGCGGTAGTCTCCGTTCCCGCGGCGACGATGGTGATAAATTCATGCAACAAGCGCTCCTCTGTGATATCCGGAGCGGAGGAAGCCCGACTCACCAACTCTGGGAACAGAGCTGGCTCCGAACACCCCGACTGAATGGCCTCCTTTTTGCCTTCCTCAGAATTGGTCCACATGAAGTTCACCTCCTGGGCGCATTTCATCCGAAATGCTATGACTGGCAGCAACTTCGGATACACGGCCGCGATACACCGCGAACCAGCCCATGCCAGGAGGGGAAAGAATCCAGGCAGATGACGCGATAGCATCCCACTCTCGACCAAGTTGCGGACGGTTTCACTCCAGATGGGAACCATGTCGGTTGTCTCAAGATATTCGAACGATCGGTAGCTGGTGTACCCGGTGATGACATCGCCCGTGAAGGAATTGTACGCGACCTCGACCTTGAGGACTGACTGGGAACTTGCATGGGCATCCAAGTGGCGGATTAGCTTGGCGAGATTGGCCTTAATCAAAGGCTGAGCCCCGTCCATACGAGCTTTGGCAAAGAATGGGGCGATCATGGCGCGCCGCGACCGATGCAGCCGATAATCCAGGGTAGAGAAGGCCGATTCATCCACGCCAAAGTGCGCGGTGAACCAGGGGTCCTTGTTTCGGGGACTGTTGGTTGCATAGAGCGTCTCATAATAGTTGGGGTCGTGGATGTGAATTTCACGGGGACTAATGCGAATGATGGGGCCTGCCTTATATCAGCACAACAGGGGCTATTGAGTCTGGTAGTCGGGCTGGTTCATGTCATTCCCACCATATTGCTTATGCAGATCGGCAATCTTGAAGGTGTACTGGCCACCACAAACTACATCATAGAAAAACTCATAAAGGCGCGTGCAAGCCGCCAACTTGGGACCAGGGATATGGGCCAACGGGGACCAATACAGCTCATACAGCGCGACGCTGGCTAGATAGACTGCCCCGACGGCCAAGCTTGTGTATAACAGTGTATCGATGGACATGGCGAAACACGAATAAAAGGATAATACTAATAATAAGAGAACAATGATGAGAAGGGGTTATGCACTGGTGGCTGATCACCCTCACAACTTTAGCAGACGTACACTTATCCCTAAATATCCCCGTTGTTCAGCGTTGTCGCGTGGTTCATGGGACCACAAGTCGTCCATTTCGGATGACGTGTAGAAGTGGTCGCGCACATGGTAAGCCAGATAATTAGCCAGATAGCAGATTGCTTCGTCATGAGGAAGCTGACGAGATATGCAAGAACAAGAGAAATGCAAATCAAAGGCAAGGCAAGGCAAGAAAAAGCAATGGCTTAGATTGGCTCAGAACAGTGAATGGGCTGAGAACGGCTTTCTTTTACCGGAGTTCGGAGTATAGGATTGATTCAGCCATGTTATCGAAGCTCAAGTACTAGCGTTGCCGTAATCTTGTCTCCTCCTTCCATCGCGATGTGATTGCGTTAGTTCATCCTCCGTCCCACCAGATTCACTGGGTTGCTTGTTTTGGCGTCCGCCCTACCACAGCTTTGCCCCGGCCGAACAAGGGTGGGCTAATAATCTCCCAGCAGCAGCCAGTCGAGAAACTGGGGAATTCCCTTTCCCATGTATTGGCTGTGGCCAAAATACGGTCGATCCCTAATAATGCAATAGAGGCAGTCCGGCTCAAGGGCGCTGGCCTTAGATCTCTTCGTGCGGAGCAACTGCATCAGCCCTCTGGTTGGCCCGGGCCCCAGTTGTGCATGTCCGTACCCCTCAGAAGTCCATAAGCACGCTTTAGCGGCAGTCTGCTAGCGTGAACGCATTGGCACGGCTATTGGTAGTACCAATTCCGAATATCATCCTTGCTGTCTCAGATCCTGGGCAGTTTAGCTACTCCAGTTGCAATGAAGGGTGTATTAGCAGGATGGACGTGCTAGCTGCGACCTCATTAAAAGGGAGGACCTCCTCGCAGACCACATTCCTTAAGGGGGCTCTCACACTCGACGTGGAGGATCTCTGACTCGACACCTCGGTTGCCATGGATGGCTTCGAAATTGCGTCTGAGCTTTTACAAGCTTCACATCATCTTCCTGTGCTAGGTACAGGTAGCCCGTCAGGGTCAGATATAATCTCGGGAAATTACATGTTAGGGTATGCCATGGCTCGTCTCTACACAAGTGAATTATGATTGAACAAGTTTGTAGGTATAGCGCCGACGACGCCAATTTGTCTCAATTTGAGCAGCTCGAGGGCCTTCTAGGCTCGCCGACTGTGGCCAACCATGTGGACTTTGGTAAAGAGACGGCCGACCTCGCCTTTCTCGACGATTCAGGGGGTATCTTATCGTCGGTTGAGCTGGCTGGGATGGTGTCGCCCCCCTTGGATGCGGTAGTTCCAATGCCTGGAATCACGAGGGCATCCAGATCACGCCCAGCATTCAGTACTCCGGCATCGAGGCCAGGGCTGTCGTCGGCGAAATCGCCTTCGCTAGGAGCAACGAGCCCTGGATCGATGGACCGCAGCGAGGAAGTGAAGCAGTTGCGCAAGAAGTACCATGAGAAATACAAGGAACGCAACCGGTTGGCTGCGGGCCGATCGCGGCAGAAGCAGGCAGACCTGATCAATTTGCTCCAAGCGGAGCAGCAGGAGGAAGAGCGGCGACGCAAGGCCCTGGAACTGGAAATCGCGAACATGCAGAAGGAACTGGTGGATATGAAGCAAGAGTTGCAGCATCACATACGCATCTCTAACTGTATGTCGATAATGTCACATGGCGCGCATCTGCAAACATTGGGGCTCCTGGCCCAGGATGTGCTCAGGTAGATGCAAAATCTCATGATTCCTTGCGACTTTCTTTTCCACATATGTGGCCTTTTGCTTCACATAGAACACAGACTTGTATCATTACAGGCTGATTATTATGATGTGTACTGGACCCAATTTTCTTTTTGATCCTAGCTGATGATTTGATGATCGTCGTGGCTACGATCTTTTGGTAATGTAAGAGTCGCCAGTTGTAGTCTCGTCATGGGTGGGCATACTGCAACATCAAGCCCTGGTCTTAGTCAATGCAGGCCTTGGTCACAAATAACCCGGACTGCGGAGATACCCGCTGGTTGAAACTAAATGCGTAGCTCGAGTTCGTACAACCTCGACCAAGATGCGGACTGGCCTGGTTCGAGGTGGCCACACGAACTATCGAGAGGGCTAAAAAAAGCAAAACGCTCAGCGGGCCATGGCCTTTTCCCTCAGCATCTGGAATCCTCACCGGCCACTGGTGCTATTTGTCAGTGAGACGTAGACACAGGACCCCTGTCTCACAACTCAGATCCATAATTCGTTTTGCTTCTTCACTTCTGCCCTTCCCTGGTCGACAACACTGCTCTCCATCGTTTTGAGATGCACAACGCCGGTTACACGTCAGGTGCTCATCCTTACACGTCATTAATATTTGTATGGACTCTAGCCAATTTGTCACCAATCTTTAGCACCACGCACTGATTGATTATTTATTTGACCTGCGGTCAACAAACTTTCTGCCCCATTGAGCTTTAAGTTATCCCCCCGTTGATCTACAACAACAATCCGCGCTAATCATGGAGATCCCCCACAAAGCTACTGTTTTAGTGATCGGCGGCGGCCCTGGTGGTTCCTACACGGCTTCAGCCCTGGCCCGAGAAGGCATTGACATTGTTTTGCTGGAGGCAGATGTATTCCCTCGGTAAGAGTATCCTCGTCGGTATCCCGTGGATGGAAGCTCACGGTGCTGTGCCAAGCTACCATATCGGTGAGAGCCTTGTTGCCTCGATGCGGCCGTTTCTCAGGTTCATTGACCTTGACGAGACGTTCGTGAACTATGGCTTCGTCCGCAAAGTATGCCCCAAAATGCTCGCTTGATTCACCCGCATCCGCCTAATCGAGCCTAGAATGGTGCAGCCTTCAAGCTGAATAACCAGAAGGAAGCTTGTGAGGCCTCCCTTCTCATTGCCAGAATGCGTCTCACGGATCACTCGCAGACACCGATTTCATCCTACAACCTGGGGCGGATACCTTCGCCTGGAACGTTGTGCGCTCCGAATGTGACGACCTCATGTTCAAGCATGCATCTAATTCCGGAGCCAGGGCTTTCGACGGTGTCAAGGTGACGGCCATTGAGTTTGATCCACTCGATGAGTCCGCGATCGACGACCACCCCGGGAGACCGGTATCTGCCAGCTGGAAGGCTAAAGATGGCCGCACGGGGTCCATCAGCTTTGATTATTTGGTCGATGCGAGCGGACGAGCCGGCATCGCCAGCACCAAGTACTTGAAATCTCGGACCTACAACAGCTACTTGAAGAATGTCGCCAGCTGGGGTTACTGGCGCGGAGCAACACCATACGGTGTCGGCACCTCGGTAGAAGGCCAGCCATATTTTGAAGCCCTCCAAGGTATGTATCCCAGTTTCATGTCCTCCCGTTCCTTCTAACCTCGCTGTCAGACGGCAGCGGCTGGGTCTGGTTCATTCCGCTCCACAACGGGACCACATCCGTCGGCGTCGTCATGAACCAAGAACTCGCCACGCAGAAAAAGAAGTCATCAACCGTGACATCCAGCCGGGCTTTCTACCTTGAGTCTGTGGAGGGTGCACGCGTAATCTCGCAATTGCTGCAGCCCGCAAACCTCGACGGGGAAATCAAACAGGCGTCCGACTGGTCCTACAATGCGTCATCGTACGGCAGCCCGTACCTCCGCATTGTCGGTGACGCCGGAGCCTTTATCGACCCGTACTTTTCATCTGGCGTGCATTTGGCAGTCTCGGGAGGGTTGTCTGCGGCGGTATCCATTGCCGCCTCTATCCGGGGTGACTGTCCCGAACACACGGCCTGGCAGTGGCATTCCCAAGGCGTTGCGAACAGATACGGACGTTTCCTTCTCGTGGTGCTCGGAGCGACCAAGCAGATACGCGCACGAGACAGTCCCGTCTTAAACAGCGAAGGGCAAGATGGGTTTGATGATGCCTTTGCGGTGATCAGGCCAGGTAAGCTTGAGATAGCTCGTGCGCACGCGAGAGCAGGCTAACGACAAATGCACCACCCAGTCATCCAAGGCACTGCCGATGTTCAAGGCAAGGTGTCTGCCCGCGAGGTACTCGATGCGGTAACCTTCAGTACAAATGCCGTGCGGCCCTCTGCAGGTGGCCAAAATGTCGTTTTGGAGGAGAGTTCTAGATCTTTGCGATCGCAAGTTGAGCAGGAGATGGGTGATGTCGCCAACAGCCTGGCTAAAGCTTACAAAGACACGGACGTGTATGAGGGACTGATGGCACGACTGGAACGCGGCAGTTTGGGTCTGAAGGCTGTCGGTGTGATGGGATGAATATGTCTACTATCTATTGGTTTGAGCATGTGAGGTAGCATAGAATGCCAGGTTCGAAGAGGTCGATGTATATTCTGGTTCAGGCATATGCTTTGGAGTCAAAGTATTCAGCATGTCCTCAACTTGAGATGTAATGACTAACGTAGCAATTATTCGTTAGACCGTGTTCTTTAATCGTGCGCATTTGTGTAAGTGTATATAGGTACATCTACTCTTCAATTTAATCACAGTAGACCCTGCTAGAGTCTATACATATTTCAGGGTTGTATCGAAGTTCTCGGTTTAAAGTAGATTATTATTCTTAGGAGCTGTGTATGGCAACAGAAGGGCGGAAGATTATAAGAAAAACATTCCAGAAATTAAAATTATTGTGTCTATTTTTCCTCCCTGTACTGGATAGTACGACTAGAGAAAATATACCTCTCTAATATGACACTGGTCTAGTTACTACTTAGTAGCTGCGGGATTGGGTTGAACTATGCTGCAGGCACCTTCCTTCCTGTCAAGTGATGCTTAACACCTTTCGTCCAACCCTTTATTCTCGTTTCTTGCTTGCTTCTTGAATCTGGAATCTAGCAGAAACCAAGTACCACTTACAAATCTCTGATTCTATTGCGTTCTCTACAGATTATTCGTTTTAGCTAGGCACTGCTGAACTCCTCAGCTCGGGGTGTCCCCAACAGACTACACTTTGTATTCAGAGATGGGTGGAAAAATACTATCATGTCTGTCTTTACCGTCGGCGGAAAGGTCACCACTCGACCATCCGACCATCTCGCCAATTACCAATTATCTCGATGCGAGTGCGGGTGCGGGTGCGGTGTGCGGCATTGCCGGTTGTACAATGCCCACGGATTCATGAAATACGAGGCTAATTGGTAGAAGGGCTCGGAGTTACGGCGGGGAGTGTGACTTAATCGCCGTTTCCGTGAATTCAGAGCCGCCCAAGCAGTTGCAGAGGTGTTAAGCTGCAGAGGTGTTAAGCTTGATTGAAACCCACCGTCCAGGGATATACTTGGCATTCATTGGTTGTTAGAAGTGTCCACTTTTGTTACAACTGTGACGGATGGAGTCTCAGTACTCCGCAGTAGACAGTGGTGTACCAGACTTAGTTGGTGGGGGTTGGTCGGAGTTTGCGGATATAACATTCTCGCCTACCATGGACCTGTCTATCTTATATGAAGGGCAAAGGACGGGCATCAGAATGCTCTACACATCAGGGACCACCAGCAATCATCCCAGACGAATGAATCGACAAGATGTCAACCCATAAAGCCGCAGTGATTCATGCCCGGGACAAGCCGCTTGTTGTGGAAAATGTCCCTCGCCCGGTGGCATCGACTGGTGACGCCATCGTCCGCATCCTGGCTGCTGATATTGTCCCCTACATGAGGGAGGTCATCACCAACCGACGCCCTTACCCGCTGTCCATCCCCATGACCCTCGGGAACACGGCCATCGCGCGCATCCATGAAGTTGGACCCGACTGTGTCACCCTCACGCCGGGTCAGCTCGTCTTCTGCGACATTACCATCCGCGCGCGCGATAACCCCGCCGTGACCATGCTCTATGGGATTCACGGGGCAATCCACCCGGCGGCGCAGAAACTCATGGATGGAGTCTGGCGCAACGGAACGTACGCCGAATACACGCGGTTCCCCCTGGAGAACTTGTATCCGCTGGACGAGGAAATTCTCTTGGGGCGATTGGGATACAGCATCACCGACCTCTGCCTTCTGACCGCATACCTGGTACCTTTTGGCGGGCTCGCCGAGGTGGACGTGAAACCGGGGGAGGTGGTGATCGTGGCCCCGGCTACGGGGCGTTTTGGCGGTGGCGCGGTGGGTGCAGCCCTGGCCATGGGGGCCACCGTCATCGCGGCCGGGCGCAACAGGGCAGCTTTGGACAAGCTCGAACACATCCACGGCACGCAACGACTTACAACCGTGCAAATCACTGGCAACGAGGCCACCGATACCCAGTCCTTCCAGACAGCCGTCGGCCACCCCGAGGGTGCCAATGTGTACCTGGACCTTTCGCCCCCGACCATCAAGGACTCGTCCTTATTAGTTGCCGGCATTCGCGCCCTGGGTTCGTTCGGCCGGTGTGTCCTCATGGGCGGCCATTTGGGGAATATTCAGCTGCCGTACGGGGAGATCATGTTCAAGGGCATTCGCATCCAGGGACGGTTCATGTATGATCGTCCGCATGTGTTACGGCTGATTCAGATGGTGCGGTCTGGATTGCTTGCGCTGGGCGAGAAGGGGGGCGTCACTCACTCCGAGGAATTTGGGTTGGATGAGATTGAGCGCGCATTGGATGCGGCAGAAAAGCTGAGTGGCTGGGGGGGGCAGGTTGTGCTGAAGCCGTAGGCTGCTATCTAGTTCTTCTTCATGCTCCTTGTTCTTAGGTTTAAATTTGTATCTCTTTGATTATTCTTATTCGTCTTTCTCTGTTTTGTCTACTTGGCATATTAGTAGTGCGTTGTCCTTCGGTTGACCGATACTCTCGAAGCGACAACCGTATAGGGTGATGCATCTAATCTTTCCGTACATCAGCACTGGTCATCTCCTGCGAGAGGATTCCATCCAGCTGAAACAGAAAAAAAAAAAAAAGGGTGTCGTGGATGCTGCAGTTACGGCTGCGGGGGCGGCCGCAGATGCGCCCGCACGTCCAGCCCAAACCAGCCAGCCGCTGCCTGGTGTATAGTAGCAGGAGCATCTATAAGATGACAGTAGACTTGAAGTATATAAGTGTTACTGTACATTTCTACACCCCCTATGGGATACTGAACGTTCCCCTTCCGCTATCATTGACTCTGCCAACAAGACCTCGCGATGGGCAAAGACCTTCTTTCCGCCATCGCTATCCCCGAGCTGACTGGTAAAGTCGTCATCGTCACTGGCGGGCACACGGGACTGTACGTGGACTCTGTTGGTTCCAATAATCAGCATTTGCTACTTTTTGACTTTCCTCTTGTTCTTGTCATCGAACGGATCGGTAGTAGTTCCCTCGTACCCTTACTAACTCTCTCCTCCACCAGTGGTTTTGGCACGAGTATCGAACTCGCCAGACATGGCGCCCGGGTGTATATTGCCAGTCGATCCCACACACGGTTCGAGCATGCCAGGCGGGACATCATAGCTGAATGCTCGGAGCGTGAAGTAGACGTGAGGTTTCTCAACCTCGACCTGTCCAGCATCAGTAGCGTTCGTCATGCAGCTGAGCAATTCATTCGGTGTGTCTCCTGTTTCTCTATTATTGATGTTTTCTTTAATCCCCCTTATTCATCCATTGCCCAATCGTTTTTGGTGCTCATGACTGATCCTCCGGACCTGTTGATGTAGGCAGGAGTCGAGGTTACATTTGCTAGTGAACAATGCCGGTGTTGGTGACCCAGGCTTGACTGAACCTCTTGTAAAGGAGTTCCTCAGCTCACTTCAACTAGGTTATGTGTTTTCCGTACGACGAAACACGAGATGGTTTTGAGATTCAGCTAGCTGTGAGTGTACCTTCTTCTCGCCGCCATCATATAAAACAGTCCTACTTTCATCGCCGTTGTCTAAAAAAACGGAAAGAAGCATAGAAACAGAAAATTCTTGACGCTAATGATAAGCTCATGTAGGTCAACTACATCGGCCACTTCCTACTTACCAGTTTACTCCTCCCAACCCTGCAGCAGACAGCATCCGAGGCAGCCGACAAGGGAAGCGTTCGCATCGTAAATGTGTCTAGCGACGGACATGCCAAACTCGCCCCGAAGGAAGGCATTATCTTCTCCGATATGAATATGAAAGCCTTTTCAGTCTGGGCTCGATATGGCCATTCAAAGCTTGCCAATATCCTACACAGCAGGGAGCTGGCCAAGAGGTATCCGGACATCCTAGCACTCTCAGTGCACCCGGGAACCGTTAAGACGTAGGTGCTCTTCTCCCCGGGTTCCATTCATACACCTCTGATATTTCTAACATCATACCAGAGGCCTGGCTGCAGGCCCGATTTCATCTACCCCACTCTATAGATTGATAAAGCCGCTGGTCGAGCTGGGTGCGCCAGGTCCACGCAAAGGAGCAGCCAGCATTCTCTTCGCGGCTGTATCGCCGCAGTTGAAGCTCGAATGCCATAATGGGGCGTATCTGCTTCCGATCGGAAGACTGTCGGCTCCCAGTAAGGCGGGATCAGATGCGAAAATGGCGGAGGAACTCTGGGAGTGGACCGTCAATGCGCTATCACATGTGAAGGTCGATGAATAGTCGTAAACTATTCGAAATATATACCAGCAGTCATGCGGATATGTTGCTCACCTTTCATGCCCCTCCGAGCCTTTTGATCAGTCCAAAATACCTCCACCCCTGTCGTATCAGAGTCAAGTCCTCGCTGTCGATGGCCGTGATTACAGTTGCCGCGTGGTTGATGAAGTTGGCTCGCAGACCTGGTTGAGTGGACGCAGCAGCGCCTGTAAATGCAACCCAGGTGAATGCCTCGGGAGCATTCTGAATCCAGTATAGTGGTTCGACCTGCAGAATATAGTTTAGAAGCACCTGATTGGGCCGATCCTGGTCCGTAGGGCCTGGGGCTTGCTCGTTGTGCAATTGCCGTCGTCGCAGGGTTGTCCAGAAAATGGAACAACAGAGGTGGCAGCATGCATTGACTTTTTCAGATGAAGTAAGATAATCATGGCTTTCGGTCCAGGGAGTCGTTGGACTAGATCTTGCCAAAATACGCGCCCACTCACATTCTATACTGGAGGTACTGCTGCGGTCGGCGTGGAAGAACTGATCGAGGCGTGAGACGGCTTCGTAAACATCCAAAATCCCATCCATAGTCTGTTTTTGGAACAGAGATCCGCCGTTCCCCAAGGCCGCTCTCGACACTAGATTTCGAAGCAGGCTCGAGGAGCGAACAGATTCAGAGTACAGACAGTCCCAAATAGGTTGCATGTCGTAGATACATGCAAATGACAGCATAGCACTAACATCTTAGTCACAAGCCACAGTCTGCGGGTAATGGCCACGTACATCTTCACGATGGCTATGAGTGGCCCAATGTTGTTGCGGAAGGATTTGGGCGTGGCAAGGAGCATTTTTACTAGACCCCTCTGATGAGCGACAGCGGAGTCGTGGTCAAGTGCGACCATCTGGAATAATTCTTCAGAACAGTCTACTCTGAACGGTTGGGGGAAAAATGGACGGCACGAACATTATAGTATAGTAACGGTATCACTGCTCCCAGTGTTCCATAGGTCAGGACCGGTTCTGGCTGTGCCAATCGCTCGTTAAGCAAGCGTATAGCCCAGGTCTGGTGATACAGGGTTACCGCAGTGTTTTGCTGACAGCGCAGCATATCAATCGATGCTGATGCGCTAAACAGGGTGGCGTGGAACAAACAGGGGTCCATCATAGCATGCTTCATCCATTCCGAACGGAGGTGGTGAGAAAGGCTGTTAGTCCCTATGGTGTCTGAGGGTAAAGCTATTGAGGTGAGGACTTCCCCGGGGTGAGAGAGCAGTGAGCAAATACCGCCAGAGCAACACCCTGTAGATAGGAGACTAACAGAATTCTAGAAGTGGTGACATGTATGACCGATATCCAATGGGGGTGTCCATCGCAGCCTCCATCTCTGTCGGCACAAGTAGTGAAGCGGACTCCATGTCTGGCCCAAAGTCATCGGTGTCCGCAAAGGCGGGGGACTTCGGCCGAGACGGTGGGTAGACACAACTGGCGACGACTCTAATGGTAACAATTAAGCAAGCATCCGCGTGGTGGCAAGCATTTCTCGTACCTCCGGCACCGGGAGCACTCCGGAATGGCGCGATCACATCTACGTTTGTTTGCCCTACATCGTATACATGCCATGGGCGACATCCTACTCATTGATGGCCCCGACTCCGTCGGTTGAGCCGCGGTCACCACTGGCGGACTGGGTGGATATTCACATGGCCTACCAAGTCTGTTCGATACGCGATAATTAGTGAGTATTCATTGGGGGGTAGGATATTGATCCCCGGTGTTACATGATGGTTGGTAGCACAACGTACTTGTTGCATCGAGAACAAATAGGAAGTCTCTTATCACATTGCCTTTTACCCAATTTGCAGGTCAGACAAACAGACGCAGCTCTGGCCTGTTCTTGTGTGTCCGCCATAACCCTGTTGAATCATCTACTACGCTGGAGTAACAGTGGTATGAGGTTAATGGTGTTGCCAGAGAGCAAAGAGATTAGTCTGGCCAGGAAGAATCCCTGGCATTTCGCAACAAGCGCCGGAAACACGTCGAAAAGGAGTCAGGAAATGACCGATCAGCTTGCTGACAAATGTTATCCATTTGATTATATGCCGTTTCCGCATCCGCGTCCGCATCCGCACTAATGTCGGCCTGCCCATCCAGCTACACCCCAATAAGATGTTTTCTTGTCAAAGTAAACACCTAAGAATATATTCATACCATTTATGTAACCTGCTAGAGTTCATGTCTTTAATTTCGACCTATCTAAGTACGTTTTCGACAATAGATAGATTACAATTTCCCCTCCGTAATCAGTTCCGCAGATCGGCTGGCGGCCTTTCCAATGGCATCTGCCACCTCCGCCGGTGCCGTATAGAAAGGACTGTGCGATGCATCCACAACATGGGTATGAATGTTGACCCCTTTCGCTATCTCCTCCACCATCATCCTTTGCACTGGGAGTGGGATCGCCTCGTCCTTGAGGCAGTAGAGGTACGTGGACGGCACATGTCTCCACGCCTCGTAGGATAATTTGCTGTGGAATGTCTGATAACTGTGTGGCCTTAATGTTTGGACAGCACTTTCTGCCTCCCGCGGACTCATGTCGTTGTAGAAGGTTGGCCTGGGAGTGGCCGGTGTCACAAGGAGACGATCATCTGAGATGCGGAACCACGGAAGGTCCTGGCCGCCGAATGAACTAATCAGAGACTTTCCTGCTGGAACGATGAAGGAGCAGCAGAAAAACAGATGAATTACGCCCCCTGGTTGGCCCTGGCGTTGACGCGTACTCCAGTCTAACCCGCGAATCGCTTCAGAGCCCGGAAGTCCGCCGTACGAGTGCACCGTAACTACCACTCTTTGCCCAGCATCAATTGCAACCTGGATCTGATTTCTAATCTGAGACACATCTTCCGAGAAGTCGGAATGAGGTTGTATGGGGTCAACCGAGGGCAAGTGAACAAGATCAGTATTATAACCCTCGGCTTGAAGCAGTCGAACGACTTCGTCGAAGCAGTGTGGGCTGTGCCACGCACCGGGGACAAAAATAACGGTTGTTGGAGAGAGCATGGAATGAAGCGGGCCTTGAAAGATTAATCTGGCGATGTTGCAATGGGATGAAAAGTTAATAATGAACTCAGATTTCGGATGTAAGCAGGATGCATGTGGTGGGCCTTTTATGTACAGTCTTGAACAGGATTGACAGCTAACTAGGATACGTATAGACGCGGGCGTGACCCATAAGTTGTGCAGTAACTTTATGGCCACGATGGGGTGATTTAGACTCAAAGTTGGACCCAGTGAATATGCAATATATCCTTGAACCCCACTCCGCACATACAGCCGCACCACTATCATGATTGGGAAGTGGCTTAGAGTGATGCCATAGACTTCGGGTTATAAATTAATGGCATGTGAGAATGACTATTTTTCTGTGCTTCCACTGATAACAACCGCAATATCCCTCAAAAATCTCCAAGCCCCTCTGGCTTTGTACCCTTCCATGTGCCAGTCAGTCAAGCGTTTGGGGAAGAACGGCAGGATATCCCCAAGGCTTGCATCATGCGCAATAATAACTAAAACTTCGCTTGTTGCATCGAATGTTATCATTTTCTCAAGGGCAGCCTCTGCATCTCCCAGATTTTCGTTCATCGCGGCATTTAGCTCGTAGAAAGGGGTGACTTTTGCATCTAGGCCCCTAGCTTTCGCAGGGGATATAGCTTCAAAGACAGAGGCAGGACACACGGATACCGCTTCGGCCGACTGTTGACCCACTGTCCATAGACTAATCTGACTCGGAAGTGGGAGGTGCTTGGTTGGGCGGAACTCTCCCGGATGATGAGCGATGTCCCCACCCAGAAAGACGAAGCGATTTTCGGAGGTACGCGCCAGGGCACTGATGTGGTCGTCGGCTATTTAAAAGAGTGTAAGCAAACTATCACACAAGAAAACGATGGTCAATCGGTATCTAGGTCATGCTGTACATGACCAGTTACTTACTATGTCCGTTCGACCTCAGCAGATACAGGCTGCCGTCTTCAAAGAAGTCGATGGCGAGGAAGCCTCCAATCTCAATGGAATCAGTAAAGTCGAGCTCCACCAGGTCCCGTCCAATAAAGGCATCATCAGTGACCAGAGAGTCGGCATTCGAAGGATAGCCGGGGAACGTTCTAGAGTGGGACTTGAAACCAGGTCCCACAACAAGCTTCGTGGACGGAGGAAAACGAGATGGATCACCGGTGTGGTCTATATGATGATGGGACCAGATAATGGCGCTGATGGATTTCAACGGGATACCATCTGCGCGAAGCTGATCGGCAACATCATGTTCGATTTCCAGGACCGCCTTGGACGATTCGATCTGGTTGAGGACTTACAATGCCAGCCTCAGTCAGCTTACATGATAGGCTATCATGTGCGACATATGTTTACGTCGCCCGAAACGAGGCTAGAAATAGCAATGCAGGCTTACTGGCTGGTGGCAGCTTTTCTTTCCAATCTTTTCTTAGTCCGAGGTCAAAGAGAACCTTTTCATTGTTATTCCTGTTTTCGATCAAGAAGCTGTAGCACGGTATATTGAGGGTGTCATGGCCTAGAATGGGGGTTTTGAAAACATAGGCTGTTGGTACGGATGTTTGCCCTGCGTGAATTATTGACACGTCCACCGTCGAGCCCTTGTATTTTGGAAGGGTAAATGGTGCCATTGTTTAAAAACGAGAATGGAGTGTATGAAGACTGTGAAAGAGGCTGTCGACGAGTCTGCAGTGGTTAGTCCTTGGGTCTTACGGCTTTGAATGATCAATTTATTATTCTCGGATCTCTACTCTAGAGTAATTAAGCCTATCAAATTTCTAATCCATTTCAAATCAAACACTCTAGGATTTGAAATCCACCATTAGGAAAGGTCTTATGGTTGGCTCTCACCCAGGGCCCATAGGGGGAATTTGCCATTTGTTATCCGAGCAATGAGACTAAATGCCAAATATAGACCTTGAAGAGCATTCTTCATGATAAAAAAGAACTACGAACTGTGGCTACTCTACGCATTATGTACCTCAGGACGTTTTTGCTGCCACAGGGGTGCTATCGCTAGATTCTGCTTACATTCAAAGTATATACCCAGCTAAACAATTTTCGCCTATGAGCGTAAAGCCTGAAAGTGCTAGTCATAATATTAAAATAATACAGGATAATTAAAAGTTAGAAATACATAGCAGCGGGCTCCGCTAGTCACCATCCGGCCAACGATTCGCCTCCGCGTAATCCTTACAAATTATACATAGCTCAACCTAAGCAGAGTTTCGCATCATGCGTCGAGTATGAAGAGAGGTGTTCCTGCGCGATTGAGTGGTAGACTGACTGCCATCACTGAGATCAAATGCCCAGATAGCCTGGAAGCAATGCGTGTCCACCTGGGCTTTCTGGTTACTGGCTTGGGCATTGTACGAGCTGTTGGCCGGGAAGAGGCCGATAATATTATAGAAATAGGCCTGGTAAGATATTAGTGTGAATCTCAGCCGTTCAAAATAGAGGAACTACTTACGTCCACGGCACTCTCCAGGATGCGAACTTCCGAAGGGACTTTATCCTTGGTGGTTGAGTCAATCGACTTCAACTCGGTTGCGCTGCTGGAGAAGGCGTCCATGAGCTCGAGGAGCGATTGTACGAACTAGCAGCCAATGAGATAAGTTACATATTTCGCTGGTATGAATTGGGCCGATGACCTCACATTTGAATACCCTTCATATACGGTCTGCTCCTCGGCTTGATCGGTGATGATGGGAGTATTGGTCATGAACTCAACATCCGTGAGAACCACGGTGACCATTGTATCCATTTCTGTATAGACGTCCTACATCTTATCAGGGTTACACATTCTTAAAACTGTGAATGATTATTGTATCTCATGATACCCAGGGTCACCTACACGCATTGGACCGGCATCGGCGGTGGAGTTAATCTCCAATACGAGATCCTTGGCAGCGAAACCTTGTTGCGCCAATTCATTCAAGGAGTTGGCAATCTCGCTCGAAGTTAAAGAGGCAAACACATAGTGCGCATAGACGCAGACAGCGATGAAAATGGAGAAAAGTGAGCGATTCATGGTGGATGGAAATGAGCGACTGGGGCAAAATCCCTTAAAGTAATGTGCAACGAAAACAAGTTGTTTAGGGCGACGCGACGAATGAGATGAACGAGTGAACGAGAATCGCGTTGCTCTGAAAAGAGTGGCAGAACAACGGCTCTCACAGGAAGCACAAAACAAAACGCGGATTACAAGAAGGACTGGTAAGGGATGGAATAAGTTTGGACACGCGAAAGAAAGAGGGGGAAATCATCTCGTATTTAATTAAATGTCATGCAAGCAGCCTGAGAGATCAGGCCCGAACAGGAATAGTCGGGATGGCTCGGGCCGAACTTATCCCGCTTGAGCCATCACCTTGATCCGGAGAGATAAAGTAATTCATCTATTTCCGTACTTTATTTCCATACTATGATAGATGTCAACATTAGTCGGGATATTGCTGTCTTTCGAACTAATTATATCTATCACTCAATATACCACTATCAGCACATTAATATATACCCTCATCCCGGAGTCCCACAGTTCGTATGAATTAATACATGTCCCGTGTACATCATCACCAATAAAAAATATACAATTTGTAGCGCAGGTGTAATTGAACCAAACATGAACACTGGACAAAAATCCCCCAGTTACTCCAAACAATGCTAATCAGATCCCTACATTCTAAGAGACTGATCCAAAAGAATTAGACAACAATATATGCAATAACTATGGTTTTGAAAGCTGCTCTTTGCGATAGAAAAAGATGCAGATGACGTTGATGGAGAGCATCAACAGCAGACACACCCAAAAGTCCGCTTTGCTCAATCCGGCGGTTACCCCGGCCGAGAAATCAGGGAAGACATTGCCTGGCCCCAATTTATCAGGAGCTGTGGCTCGAGCCAGAATGGTGGCGACCGAACCCACCACCTGCGCCGCCAGGAGGGTGAAGGTGACGTGGAACCGAGTCATGGTATTCAACAGAATCATTCCAAACCCTATGTGGACGGTTCAATGTTAGAAATGGAGAATCCCAGTGGACGAGGAACAGAAAAACTCACCAATACCCTGAAGACTATCCAACACCCCAAGCCACAACCAGAGTGCCCGTCCGAGGATGGCTCCAGCAACTGGCCCACCAGCCCAAGGAATATAGGTGCCGATGTTGGAGGTGGCCCATAGGATCTGCGCCCATCGAGGGGCTCCCAGCCCAATGGCAAAGATTGGGATGAACCAAGCATGTCGCTTGGAAAGCACGTGAAAGACCCAGAGTGCAGCCGCCCAGACTACGATGAAAAAGAGAAGAACCAGCAGGATGATCTGCCAGACCTTGGCATGCTTGCTGGACCACAGGTACAACCAGTTCCGTCCGTACGGCGCTGATAGCCAGTAGTTGGAGATGAACACCATGTAGAAGAACCACTGGAATATATTTCAGTTAGCTCCCGATATTAGAGGCCAAAAAGGGTGCAGAGCGGCAGAAGCATACCAGGATGACCCGACGCCGGAAGAGCGAGAGGTAGAAGGTCGGAACCTGACCAGGTGTTTGCCGATAGTATGCAGGGAGTCCGAAGAAGACCAAGGCCCCCAGCAGCCACAACACACAAGCCAGGCCGACGCCGATTCCGAGCAAGATGTTTGGGTCAGTTATGCTAAGACTAAAGCGCGTACTGCCCTCTTGGTTGAGGCTTGCCATCCAGCTACCCCAGTACCAGAGAAAACTGATGCACAGCTGCTGGCTACCCTGAATCACGGTCGCTCGGTAAATCCAGGAGCTGAGAGGCGCCCCGCCTAGATACACGGATTGTTAGAGAAAACTAATTGACAGATCTTGCCCATCAACATACCTTCGTCTCCAAAGTTGAGAGCAAAAAAGATGGATCCACTGGACGACGCAAAGGAATACAACCCGGTGCCCACATTCTGCATCCACGTCTGGCTGATGCTGTTGCTGATAGGGCCCGCGATTCCGACGAACAGGAAGGCCAAGCCGTACAACTTCGACACGGTTAGAATGAAAGCTTAGACGGCAAACAATTCGGAAACGGTTTCACATACCAGGTAAGGGATGGTCAACACGTAAACGGATGGGACAAGGCGGAAAATCATCCACCAGATGATTGAGGACGCGAGATAAATCGAAGCCAGGATGTACAACTTTTCTGCTGTCTCTCCGATTTCGCCGTTCAACAGAGTAATCTGATAGGAGTTCAAGGCGAGAATTTGGCCCTGCAATCATTGGTTAAAGTGTGATTCGGGGAGCGCCTGGGAAAGGGTCAAAACTCACGATAGCAAGCACAATGGAATACAAGGGCCAGTCGCCCAGCTTGATCAGCATGAAACGCTTCAAGCCTGTCGGGGGAACATAATCCTTTGGGAGAAGGAATTGTCCCCCATTCGGATCCTCAACTGGTCCATTAGCTGCAGGGGTAGGTGGTCGGCTAGCATCCTGAACTCTGAAGCGGAAGATAGACGGAGATGGAGACGGGAGTGGTGACTTGCCCAGTTTGACATCTCGGTATCGGTTGAACCAGTCCTTTTCGCTTTTCTCGATGAACTCCTCTATACACAACTGGTCCTCGGAATTCTTGCCGTTCAGACCAGCAAGCTTCCGTTCAAACTTGGCTGCGTATTCATGATTGGCATCTGTGAAGAACGGATTGACTTTCTGAAGGTTGTAGTCTTGTTTCTCCTTGACGATATCATGAATGCTGACTAAACTCATCATTGACGGGCTTAGATTCCTTCGTCCCAGCAGGCCATCGTCCGGTCCGGCACCGAGAGTGGGTGTACTGGCACCGGAGTTAGCGAAGGTTGGGGGAGTATTCGGTGCCCCCGACGGCGACAGATACGAGGCAAGATGAGGACTGAAGTCCTCTTGGGCGACCCCTGCCATGTGCTCGAGATCTTGGCCGTCGTTGCCAGGGGTATAAACAATCCGAGGGCCTCCACGGGGGGTAGAGGATAATGGTCTGCGTCTTGACTCGTTGTCAGTGTCAGAGTCGTTGAACATGTTGACGTTCGAAGGCAAATTGGCTGGCAGCGAGGCAACGTGGCTATGGCCTGGCCGACCTCCCGCTTGTTTCGCGTCCGCGGTAATGGGCCTGCTGGGGGGACCTGAGTTGTCCGAGCTGCGTGAACGGCTCTGTTCGCGACTGGTATTGGAGCTTGACGAAAACCGAAAGTTGCGAGGTCTATCGGGAACCATTGTACTAACGCCGGATACCCTCCATGAATTGCGGTCCTGGCTTTTCGAGTGTTTTGCGTGCTTTAAGATCGAGGTAGTCTGTAGAATTTCCAGATCCTCAACCCACTGCGCCACAGGAAACCGCTGCTTGCCTGATCGTGCACGCATCATGGCGCGTGTTTCTTGAGATGATCTCAGAGCATCATTGATAGCCAACTTGAACTGGTGGATGAGGTGTTTCGTTGTCATCGACTCACTAGAATACATTAGCACTCCGCCTCTGCACGGTATCAAGGATAAGATGAAGAAGCTCACATCGTGTACCACCATCCTGGCATCTGTCCAAGGCCACCGACCCTATATGAAGTGCATACGTCAGCATTGATACTCGTAGCATCGTTTAACTAGAGGCATACCGTGATCCCACACCCAAAGCCCCTTTGCGGCCAAACTCGACAGCAACGAGACCGAATGGTTCATCCCGCGATGGGATTAATGCGAATTCAGCGCCACTGAAGATGAAGGGGGGCAGTGCAGTGAATTCTGGCTTGGAATAGACACGCCCTGGATAGAGTTCCATGAGCCGGTTCAGCTTCAAAGCTGCAAATCTCCCATAGAGATCGATGACTGGTCCAATGCACATCAGCTGCACGTTTGGGTGAGCATCCAAAACAGAGGGAAAGATGTCCGCGATAAGGTCGACGCCTTTTTGCATGGACCAGCGCCCAACAAAGACGAACAACTGAGCGTCGGGGTCAACCTTCAGCCCTGCCCATTCTTGTGCTTGTTTCTTCAGTGCACCACGGCTGGCCTCGAACTCTAGGTCGACGGTGACCTCCTCAGGCTGCTTGCTCGCATTGCTGTCCCAGTCAGCCAAGTCCGACGGGTCGGGATTTGGCAGGGCTCCAACGCTCTTGAGACCCCAGAAAATGGGATATCTGGCATACGATCGCTTGCCATATTTCTTCGAGACACCCACTGCTCCAAATCCGTTCTGGTGAATTTTCAGATAGTTCGCGGCACAGTGAAGGAGATTGAACACGTCGCCGAATTGGACGTATTTCTTGACCACCGCCTGATCCAGATTGAACACTCGGCAGACCTCCTGTATTTGCTGGGGATTTCGCATTGGCCACAGGCCTTGAAATTCCGCGTTATGCAGAGACAGACAACAAGGAATCGTTCGAGGTAGGAGATAGAGTGGAGCTGCCGCACCATGGTAATCGTTGATATGGTAGAGGTCAATTTGCGGGAACCGCTTGATGGCTTCAGCAATGCATTGATTCCAGGCAGAGTAGAAAATGGCTGAATTGAGGTCGTCCATCCGGGCAGGGTACGGGTCCGACTTCGATTGAGCTCGAAACACGGGCGCATCTAGCAGAACATATGTTATATTATGCAGCCGATGGTACTGAACATCAACATGGTATGTTGTTCCAAGAACAGTCACCACCATCGGTTCACGCGGGTCGTCCCTAGGGTAGTCCACGCCTCCAACACAGGGGACCACCCATATGAGATCCTGATGGGTAAGGTTTTTGCCCATTAATTGCGCCATCACGCCCAGGCCACCAATTTTAATTTTGATCGCCCAATCTTCAATGTCGTATTCCATGGTAGCAATGAGGACAGTGCGTCGTGGGGTGTTCACAACAGCCCCAATGGCGGCCCCAGTCGGAAGTCCTGGCGGGCTCACAGAGCGCTGGTTGTCCTCCGGGTTGGCTTCCTTCTCGTTAGAGGTCCGGGTTATCTTCAGAAGGGCGCCCAAAATCGGAGCGAGAGTCGAAGTTTTCTCGGTGACACCGATTTGATTGAATTTGACCTGGTAAAAAGCCTTGAGGTAAATGTA